AAAAAAATCGTTTTTAGGTGATGAAGTAATAAAAAGGTGGAAGAATATCAGAGACACATTTGCAAAATATATAAAATCTACCAAACCAAAGACCGGCCAAGCAGTGGGCAACATAAAAAAATGGCAGTGGGCTGACTACATGGAATTTTTCCGTCCTTTTTTGGCATTTGCCAAAACGTCGTCTAATGTGAAAGATAATGACGTCATACATTATGAGACTGCCGAATTTAACTCAAATATATATCAGGAAAGGGCTGGAAATGTAGAAACCGAAAATTTGGAAGACCGCGGCCATGGAGAAGATGAAAATGCTGATGTAGATGCAGAAGATGCACAGAACGCCTCGGCAACACAGACAGCACCACCTTCTTCATTGAACACTACAGCAGTGACTACTCCAGGGCACACCTTTCCGCAGACTGCAACTACACCAAAATATAAAACGAGCAGAAAACGCTATGAACCACCATCTTCGTCTGTACAACAGCTCATTAATTATTTTGAAGGTAAAAAACCTAAAAAAGAGAACGAGGCCATTGATTCACTTTTCTTGGCACATGCACAGACTGTGAAAACACTTCCCTTAAAGCGTCAAGCCCGAATAAAACTAAAAATAGCCGAATTAATAGCGCACGAAGAATTTGAACATATTGAAGAAATGTCTTCAGCGTCTACCCAGAATTCTGCAAGTATGTATGATAGTAGTATGTCGTCCTTCCCAAGCGGCACTGGGTTTACTCCAATAATATACCCAACAGAGGAGGCAAATTCTGCCTCGAATTATTTAGCAACATTTAATCCTAGTGGCAACATGTAGTCCAATTATTACAATAAAATATTTATTTCACGATCCCTGAAGTTTTCGTATTCGATAAGCCTACTAATTTTAATACATATAATTTTTTTACCTGAGTGTAATAGCAAGTCGTTCTTCTGGCAAAATAGCTTCACGATAATTTGTGTCAGATTTTAGTATTTCATCTTTCACCAAGTTCAATATTTCATCGAAACACTCTGGAGTCATTCTAAAATATACGTAAAAGCGCTGTTCATCCAGCCGAAGTTGTGGCATCAAGGTATGGTATTCCCCAAATTTATTTCGTTCCAAGTTAATATCATGTACCCACTTCCTTCGTTTCCTAAACAAAATTGAAAATATTTGTTTTATGTACTTCGTTAAACTTAATACATACCCAACTATCAAATGGCGTTAAATAAACATAACTTACCGTGCATTTTGTTCCTCTTCTAAAGCAAGAAATAGAAGTGCCTCCTCTTCTTCTGAAGACGAGCTCATTGCAAAAACCAAAAATAAAATGTACGCAACCTGTCGAAACCTTCACGTTCGCGGAGCGAATAAGACGCTTTGGTATGAATAAACAGGCGATACAGATTGCGAATTTCGCTCTGAATTTCGTTGCGAATACTTCGCCGCGATTATTTCGCGCCGGTTTGTGGGATGCTTTATAGCATCAGAAAGTAGAATAGAATTCACTCGTCCTTTCGGCCTACGTGGGTTTTGATTCCGTGCGATTCCAAAATCGTGTGTATTGTGTCGAAAAGTGCCATGAAAAAATCAAAATGGCATTTTCGTAGTGCCCTAATTCAGTCGCCTAAAGGATCCCCCAAACGGACGCGAATATTTCGCAGAGACTGCGATTAATTCGCGACGACATTATCGCCCAGGGACTCTTCTCGTAGAAGCAAATGAACAAGAACAGACCTGTGCGTCAATTTCGGTGCGACAGTGCAGCGTATAAACTTTAATTCGCTGCTTGCACGATTTTTATCGCTATCGCAATGGAAAACACTGAAAAACTTCTGGAAATGATTAAACAATTTCCAATTCTCTATGACTTGAACAACGAGGACTACAAAAATGTTCGAAAAAAGACAAAATCTGGGATGAGATAGGAGTGGAATTGAATGACACCGGTAAGTTACTCTTTACTGAGAAATTATCATAATACGTTTATTATTTATGAATGGCTTAGCTAAGCTGATCTTGACCAACAATATTAGGAGTTGAAGTAGTCAACAAATTTTTCTCGTGTAGAAAATGCCAGATTCGTTGCACGTCTTGTATCATTTTCGATGTTGGTAAAGGCTTGTGATGGATCTGGATCTTCGTCTAGAAGGTGTATATACTGTTCGTCACATTGCTTACTGCGTAAAAAATTATGCAGGACGCATGCAGTTTTTACTATTAAAATTATAGTATCTGTTTTTGTTTCCATGGGCCTATAAAAAATTCTTCACTTTTGACTTAGAATCCCAAAAGCATTTTCCACTACTCTCCGCACCCTGCACAGCCCAGTATTGTATTTTTCTTTTCTAGCGTCTGCTTTCGACTGTCTATATGGCAACGGTCTCATTAGGTAGGGTTTAAGGGCAAAACCTTCATCTCCAATCAAAACATGAGGGCATGGTTCCCTCTGTCCAGGTAGAGGCTTATCTTCTGGAATGTGCATCAAGCCAGCTTCAAATCGTTGTCCCATGGTAGAAGCTTCGAATATTCCCCCGTCACTATTTTTCCCGAAGCCACCGATATCTACGCATATAAACTTGTAGTATGGATCAACGATTGCCATTAGCACAAGAGAAGATTTTTTTAAATAACAGAAGTGGGTTGATCGTGTTTTATCGGAGCATTTGATGGTTACGTGTTTCCCGTCCAAGCTTCCAATACAGTTCGGAAATTGCCACATTTCTCTAAATCCGTCTGCACTCTTCTGCCATATTTCCTTTGTTGGCTCAGCCGTACAGACTTCTGTCACAGTCTGGCTTACGGTTGAAAATCCAACTCGGAAACTATGCCCAATTGTATAAAAAGTATCTCCCGTTGCAAGAAATCTGAAAAAGAAACAACATTTTAAAATATGTTTTTGCTTTTCAGGTGACAACTTGAAGAAAAGATGGAAAAATCTGAGCGACACATGCAAGATATATTCGATCAGTTAAAACTAAAACTGGAGATCTGGCGCAGAAACGAAAGAAATGGCAGTGGGCGGAGTACATGGAGGCATTCCGTCCATATCTTGTATTTGCAAAAACTTCCTCCAATGTGTCTGATATTCCCATCGAAGAGAAGTCTGATACTCAGAATACTGATACATCGCTGGACAATTCATAACAAGATCCAGCATTTGGGCCTACAGTTATGTCTCACAGTAGCATAGAAGCTGATCGAGAAGATGATACAACCAGCACACCAAGGTGCAATGTAAAAAAAAAGCACCATGGAAACGAAACAACCTAGTTCGGTAAACTCTCTAATTAATTATTTCGAGAGCAAAAAGAGTAACAATCTTGATGCTACGGATCTACTGTTTCTGGATCATGCAAGTGCGGTAAAACAATTTTCTGCCAAAAGGCAAGCAATCACAAAACTGAAAATTGCCGAAATTATGATGGCGCAAGAGCTTTTGCACACTGAGGAACAGTGCATTCGGCGAAATCTCTTCACGGCCTACTACAGCTACTAGTAATTCTCGTGCTAGTACACTTTGCTCATCTCCTACTGAAGCTTATACTGAATTGACGATGACGAACATCCAAGATTCGAATGTTAGTTCTGTAGCCGGTCATTCTCAGAACCCTACATTGAATTTGGGGAACCCTATTCAACCACAAAACTATGATGGGGAGGTTGCCAGTTATTATTCAACTTTTCAGCCCTAAGATGTATATATTTCATAAATTTTGAATATGTTCTTTTTTTATTTAATACTACAATAAAATGTAAAACATTTCTACCAGAAATGCCTAATCTGTGTATATGTTTCTTTTAAGTTTAATAAGAATTAAAAATATACTTAAACACATCGTGTTATGTTTTCCTCAGAGCTATGGCAAGCCTTCCTTCCGGAGAAATAGCCTCCCGATAATTCGTATCCATCTTTTTAATGTCTTCTTTAATATAATCTAATATCTCATCGAAGCAATCACTTGTCATTCGAAAGTACATATAGAACCGTTTCTCGTCTTGGCGCAATTCAGATATTAATGTTTGGAATTCCCCACATTCTCTTCTTCCGTTAATTTTATGGCACCATTTTCTTCGCTTCCTGTAAATATTTGCGAATGTTTTTTTTTTTTGATACCTAGATATTGCCAGAAATACATACCTACTCCGTTCTTCCTCCAAAGCAAGATACAGAATTGCTTCTTTTTCATCTGAAGAGTACATGTTTTAATTTGATTTTCAAGCTACACTCTCACACCGTTTACTGCCAATCCACTGCGATCTTTTCACTTCGATATGAAAGTCCCTCAGATGTTCGCAGCGAATATCGCGAGAATTATATCGCCACGAATATCGCAGCGGATTAATCGCGTTGGTTTGGGGGATCCTTAAAGGTACAGTGCGCCCTTTCTGCGAATGTGAACCGACGCGACGCGGCGAAAGCGTGTACAGCTCGTCAAGTGTAGGAAAAGATGCGAATTTTTGAATAAAGGATCCCCCAAACCAGCGCGATTAATCCGCTGCGATATTCGTGGCGATATAATTCTCGCGAAATTCGCTGCGAACATCTGAAGGACTTTCATATCGAAACGAAAAGATCGCAGTGGATTGGCAGTAAACGGTGTGAGAGTGTAACTTGAAAATCAAATTAAAGCATCCCACAAACCGGCGCGAAATAATCGCATCGAAGTATTCGCAACGAAATTCAGAGCGAAATTCGCAATCTGTATCGCCTGTTTATTCATACCAAAGCGTCTTATTCGCTCCACGAACGTGAAGGTTTCGACAGGTTGCGTACATTTTATTTTTGGTTTTTGCAATGAGCTCGTCTTCAGAAGAAGAGGAGGCACTTCTATTTCTTGCTTTAGAAGAGGAACAAAATGCACGGTAAGTTATGTTTATTTAACGCCATTTGATAGTTGGGTATGTATTAAGTTTAACGAAGTACATAAAACAAATATTTTCAATTTTGTTTAGGAAACGAAGGAAGTGGGTACATGATATTAACTTGGAAGGAAATAAATTTGGGGAATACCATACCTTGATGCCACAACTTCGGCTGGATGAACTGCGTTTTTACGTATATTTTAGAATGACTCCAGAGTGTTTCGATGAAATATTGAACTTGGTGAAAGTTGAAATACGAAAATCTGACACAAATTATCGTGAAGCTATTCCGCCAGAAGAACGACTTGCTATTACACTTAGGTAAAAAAATTATATGTATTATTAAAATTAGTAGGCTTATCGAATACGAAAACTTCAGGGATCGTGAAATAAATATTTTATTGTAATAATTGGACTACATGTTGCCACTAGGATTAAATGTTGCTAAATAATTCGAGGCAGAATTTGCCTCCTCTGTTGGGTATATTATTGGAGTAAACCCAGTGCCGCTTGGGAAGGACGACATACTACTATCATACATACTTGCAGAATTCTGGGTAGACGCTGAAGACATTTCTTCAATATGTTCAAATTCTTCGTGCGCTATTAATTCGGCTATTTTTAGTTTTATTCAGGCTTGACGCTTTAAGGGAAGTGTTTTCACAGTCTGTGCATGTGCCAAGAAAAGTGAATCAATGGCCTCGTTCTCTTTTTTAGGTTTTTTACCTTCAAAATAATTAATGAGCTGTTGTACAGACGAAGATGGTAGTTCATAGCGTTTTCTGCTCGTTTTATATTTTGGTGTAGTTGCAGTCTGCGGAAAGGTGTGCCCTAGTCACTGCTGTAGTGTTCAATGAAGAAGGTGGTGCTGTCTGTGTTGCGGAGGCGTTCTGTGCATCTTCTGCATCTACATCAGCATTTTCATCTTCTCCATGGCCGCGGTCTTCCAAATTTTCGGTTTCTATATTTCCAGCCCTTTCCTGATATATATTTGAGTTAAATTCGGCAGTCTCATTACTGTATGACGTCAATATCTTTCACATTAGACGACGTTTTGGCAAATGCCAAAAAAGGACGGAAAAATTCCATGTAGTCAGCCTACTGCCATTTTTTTATGTTGCCCACTGCTTGGCCGGTCTTTGGTTTGGTAAATTTTATATATTTTGCAAATGTGTCTCTGATATTCTTCCACCTTTTTTTTACTTCATCACCTAAAAACGATTTTTTTATAGATTCCTTGCCACTGGTGACACCTTCTATACCATTGGGCATAGCTTTCGAGTTGGCTTTACAACAGTGAGAGCAATCGTAACCGAAGTCTGTGAAGCGATATGCAGACATATGGAGCATATATATTTACCAGAACCAACAGAGAATATATGGAAAAAATGTGCTGAAGAATTTGAAAATAGATGGGGATTTCCCAATTGCATTGGCAGCGTGGACGGTTAACATGTACCAATCAAGAGACCTAACAACAGTGGCTCCAATTACTGGTGCTATTTACGAGTACATAAATATTCAATAGTACTTATAGCCATTGTTGGCCCGGACTATAAATTTATATGTGTTGATATTGGTGATTGCGGAAAAAATAGTGATGGGGGTATTTTCGAAACCTCAAACATGGGAAAACGATTTGAACAAAATTTAATGAGTGTCCCTGCACCTAGATTTCTTCCTGGGCAAAATGAAATCTGCTCGTACATCTTAATTGGTGATGAAGCATTTGCTTTAAAACCATATAGTACCTTATGAGACCATTTCCTTATAAGCAGACTTTAACAGACGTCAGAAAAGAGAAATACAATGTAAAACTTTGTCGAGCTAGAAGGGTCGTGGAAAATGCGTTTGGTATTTTGTCTCAAAAATGGCGAATATTTTACAGGCCATTAGAAACTAAAGTAGATACTACTATTCTAATTGTACGTACGGCATGTGTTTTACACAATTTTTTACGAAGTAAAAGTGGCGATGACAAATATTTTCAATTCTTAGATCCCCCAGAACCCGTGCTTGGAGCTTTTACTGATATAGCAAATGATCCTCGGCAGGCAGCAAGGCTAGCATTTTCTACTCGTGACAAATTCGTAAATTATTTTAATTCTGATATGCCTATGCCCAATATATAGAATGTTCGTTTTCACATTTGTGTAGACTGTAAATTATTTAACAAGTTAATAAAAAATATTAGGTACATACTATTTGTATTTAATTCTTTTCCTATTTCCATCCAAATCTTGTCTTTCTTTCTCACATTCCTGTATTCATCGTTCGACCAATCATACAAACAAGGATACTTTTTTACTATTTCTAACAATAATTCCGTTTTTGCCATTGCGAATTTTTGAAGAACGGCGTCAAAAACGCGGTCAAAGGCGAACTGAAATACGCCGCGATAAAAACGCTGGAACAACCGTATTCGCTTCGCACAAGTCTGAGCCTGTCCGTAAACCGCCGCGTTTTAATCTGATCGCGAATTCATCGATGCGAAATTTTCGCAGCCAAAGCGAATATTTCGCGCCGGTTTGTGGGATGCTTAAAACATGTACTCTTCAGATGAAGAAGAAGCAATTCTATATCTTGCTTTGGCGGAGGAAGAACGGAGTAGGTATGTATTTCTTGCAATATCTAGATCTCAAAAAAATAAAACATTCGCAAATATTTACAGGAAGCGAAGAAAACTTAGGAAGAAGGGAATGTGGGGAATTACAAACATTCATGTCTGAATTGCGCCAAGACGAAAAACGGTTCTATATATACTTTCGAATGACAAGTGATTGCTTCGATGAGATATTAGATTATATTAAAGAAGACATTAAAAAGATGGATACGAATTATCGGGAGGCTATTTCTCCGGAAGAAAGGCTTGCCATAAACATAAAACGATGTGTTTAAGTATATTTTTAATTATTATTAAGCTTAAAAGAAACATATACACAGTTTAGGCATTCCTGGTAGAAAAGTTTTACATTTTATTGTAGTATTAAATAAAAAAAGAACATATTCAAAATTTATGAAACATAAGCATCTTAGGACTGAAAAGTTGAATAATAACTGGCAACGTCCCCATCATAGTTTTGTCGTTGAATAGGGGTCCCCAAATTCAATGTAGGGTTCTGAGAATGGCCGGCTACCCAATTAACATTTGAATCTTGGACGTTCGTCGTCGTCAATTCAGTATAAGCTTCAGTAGGAGATGAGCAAAATGTACCAGCAATCGTTGATCCATACTACAATAAGTTTATATGCATAGATATCGGTGGCTTCGGGAAAAATAGTGACGGGGGAATATTCGAAGCTTCTACCATGCGACAACGATTTGAAGCTGGGTCGATGCACATTCCAGACGATAAGCCTCTACCTGGACAGAGGGAACCATGCCCTCATGTTTTGATTGGAGATGAAGGATTTGCCGTTAAACCCTACCTAATGAGACCGTTTCCATATAGACAGTCGAGAGCAGACGCTAGAAAAGAGAAATACAATACTGGGCTATGCAGGGCGTGGAGAGTAGTGGAAAATGGTTTTGGGATTCTAATGCTAAATTATAAAGCTCACTTGAGGCTTACTGAATTGTGAGGCGCCCTTAAGTCGAGATTTCATTTTTATAGTCGGCTTGTCTGTCTTGAGGGACCCTTAAGTTTCTATCAAACTTGAGGGAGCATCAAAGGTACCTTGAGGGCTCCTTCAGTTTAATATTTGGTACCTATTTTAATGTCTTTGACATTTTGTGTTTAGAAAAATAATGGATATGGACAATTTTCTTGATTTTATCGAATGGGTAGAATATGTGAAAGAAGCAGGTTCAGCAGGAAGGATTCCCAAACGTTACATAAGAGATGCGCAGAATCCTTTTGAATTCTGTGAAGATATTGAATTCAGATGACGGTATAGATTCTCAAAATTTATAGTGAGTGATCAAATTTTGCCACTTGTGAATGACGCCTTACAAAAGAATTCAAACCGTGGTTTACCAATACTTCCGATTTTACAACTCTTAGTTTCTCTACGGTTTTATGCTACAGGAAATTATCAGGTATATTTCCAATACATCAAATAACATTCCCAGTATTAAATATAGTAATAAAGTATGTTTTGTAGAAAGTTGCTGACACTTTTTCCGGGTGGCAAATTTCCCTAATGTGACGGATTGTGTGGATGGAACACATATATTAATAAAGAACCCTGGTGGCAATATAGGAGAAATATTCAGAAACAGGAAAGTGCAGTTTCCCCTTAATGTTCAAGTAAGAATATTTTATAAGTAATAATAACTCATTACTTTTGATTATTCATTCTGCTTGCCTTTTGATAATAAAATTAGTGCATTATAATTTTTAGGTAGCATGTAGACCCAATTTAGAAATGTTAAATCTTGTTGCAAGACATCCAGGTTCTACACATGACAATGCTATATTTGAACAAAGTGGTCTACGAGTAAAATTTGAAAGTAATGAAGTACAAGGTATGTAATTAGTATTCTATAGCATTTATATTTAAACGTGACTACTCATTTTAGGAATTCTATTGGGTGACAATGGTTATGCATGCCGAAGGGATTTGTTAACTCCTGTTATAAATCCTGTAACAGAGTCAGAAGAAAATTACAATCGAGCACATATAAGAACTAGAAATATAGTTGAACGCGTTTTTGGTGTCTGTAAAAGAAGATTCCCATGCTTGAGAAGAACACTTCAAACCGAAGAAGAAACTTCGATCGCTATTATATGTGCAACAGCAATTTTACACAACATTGCTAGAAACTTGAATGATGTCTTTCAAGAAAATGAGCTTAACGAAGATGGTGATTGGGTTGTTATTGTTAATGATCGACCAGGTGACGGATTAGCCTTTAGAAGAACTTTTATAGTAACTCATTTTTAATAAATAAAAATTGAAAATTTCATCTGGTGTATCTATTTTACAACAAAATTTGTAACACGCTGTTTCTTTGCTTTAAATAACTCTTGGCACAAACACAATATGTAATTAACTACTTTATTGATTCAATTTTTTTAATTTTGTTTCCCAATATAATTTTTCTGCCTCGGCTGCCTGTTTTTTAATCAAATGGAGTTCTTCATCGTGCTCCATGGATCTTTTCAATTTCTGTATTCTTAGAAGAGCTTCCTGTTCAATTAGTGATTTTCTTGTTGAATGGGTCCCACATACTGATGGTCTTCTTCTTTTCTTCTGTGGAGTTATAAAATTTTCAGATGTGTTATTCCCATTCGGTTGTCCTAAAAAATATATTAATATTTTAATTTGACAATAATAATTATAATAGATAATATACAAACCGTTTACCACTGGCTTATCTTGGTCTATGTCACCCATATTTGACTGTGCATCAGTAACTTCAATAAATGCTTGAGATGCGTTGGGTTCAGAATGAAGTTGAGAATCTAATGAAATTGTAATACAAAAATAGGTAAATGTGAAGTGTGCCATTGGTACCATATTATACTCACTCTCGGAAAGGATATCAGAATTGCTGTCCCACTCATTTTCAATTACTCAATAACTCAATAACTAATTGTAGGGACAACTGACCGAACTCGTTCATTTATTGGATTATCTTCACTTTTCACTGGTGGTCCACCCCCAGTTTGAATTAAACTTTTTCTCATTTCTGAATCACGTTTAATAGTTCTGAAACAAACACACATTTGGTAATAAATTAGAAAAAGACAAATTATGTATTTCCTATATACCTTTGTTTCAAATTCTCCCACAATTTTCTCAATTGCTTATCAGTTCTAGGACAAACATCATTTGCATTATATAGATCTGTAATTTCCTTCCAGGCCCCATTTTTCTTTTCGACATTGGTGGCATATGTTTTCTTATTTTCTAGTATGTGCTTATAACTATCAACTCATGATATAAGCAACAATTTGTCCCTTTCGGAAAAAACTTCGCTCGCATGAATCTATGGAATAGATTATACAGTAATTACTTTAAATTAAATATACATTTTTGTACTTACTCTTGTTTGTATTATTCATTTGATTAATAAATAAAGTAAGAGCGGCAACAGGAAGTTCCTATCAGGAATTTTGAAAATACACTGAAAATCTGGATCACTCTGGGAATATGAATCAGAATATGAATGCCAAAGATAAATATCTGGTTTGCAAAGAGCTAAAACTTTTGGAATTTTCTACTAGTTTATTTTTTTTATGGATGTTTGTTAATTTGTATTGGGCAAGTTTATGGATTATGTTTAGTCACGTTTCGATGTTGCCAAATGTAAACGCCTACTCATCCGAGGGGAGCTTGAGTTACGTTTATAAAAACGAATGACCCTTGAGGCTTGCTTGGCTAAGGGGATTTAAAGGGTCTATATGAGTGTCGACTATAAATACCGGCATAAGTCAAAAGTGGAGAATTTTTTATAGGCCCATGGAAACGAAAACAGATACTACAATTGTAATAGTAAAAACTACATGCTTTCTGCATAATTTTTTACGTAGTAAGCAATGTGACGAACAGTATATACACCTTCTCGATGAAGATCCAGATCCATCACAAGTCTTTACCAACACAAAATGATCCAAGACGTGCAACGAAGCTGGCATTTTCTACACGAGAAAAATTTGTTGACTACTTCAACTCCTAATATTGTTGGTCAAGATCAGCTTAGCTAACCCATTCATAAATAATACACGTATTATAATAATTTATCAGCAAAGAGTAACTTACCGGTGTCATTCAATTCCACTCCTATCTCATCCCAGATTTTGTCTTTTTTTCGAACATTTTTGTAGTCCTCGTTGTTCAAGTCATAGAGAAATTGTTTAATTATTTCCAGAAGTTTTTCAGTGTTTGCCATTACGACAGTGATAAAAATCGTGCAAGCAGCGAATAAAGGATCCCCCAAACCAACGCGATTAATCCGCTGCGATATTCGTGGCGATATAAGTCTCGCGAAATTCGCTGCGAACATTTGAGGGACTTTCATATCGAAGCGAAAGGATCGCAGTGGATTGAAAGTAAACGGTGTGAGAATGTAGCTTGAAAATTAAATTAAAACATGTACTCTTCAGATGAAGAAGAAGCAATTCTATATCTTGCTTTGGCGGAGGAAGAACGGAGTAGGCTTCTACCCTGGGACAACGATTTGAAGCTGGGTTGGTGCACATTCCAGAAGATAAGCCTCTACCTGGACAGAGGGAACCATGCCCTCATGTTTTGATTGGAGATGAAGGATTTGCCCTTAAGCCCTACCTAATGAGACCGTTTCCATATAGACAGTCGAAAGCAGACGCTAGAAAAGAAAAGTACAATACTGGGCTGTGCAGGGCGCGGAGAGTAGTGGAAAATGCTTTTGGGATTCTAAGTCAAAAGTGGAGAATTTTTTATAGGCCCATGGAAACGAAAACAGATACTACAATTTTAATAGTAAAAACTACATGCGTTCTGCATATTTTTTTAAGCAGTAAGCAATGTGACGAACAGTATATACACCTTCTAGACGAAGATCCAGATTCATCACAAGCCTTTACCAACATCGAAAATGATCCAAGACGTGCAACGAATCTGGCATTTTCTACACGAGGAAAAATTGTTGACTACTTCAACTCCGAATATTGTTGGTCAAGATCAGCTTAGTTAAGCCATTCATAAATAATAAACGTATTATAATAATTTCTCAGTAAAGAGTAACTTACCGGTGTCATTCAATTCCACTCCTATCTCATCCCAGATTTTGTCTTGTTTTCGACATTTTTGTAGTCCTCGTTGTTCAAGTCATAGAGAATTGGAAATTGTTTAATTATTTCCAGAAGTTTTTCAGTGTTTGCCATTGCGACAGCGATAAAAGTCGTGCAAGCAGCGAATTAAAATTTATACGCTGCTCTGTCGCACCGCTGTGAGCGAAATTGACGCATAGGTCTGTTCTTGTTCATTTGCTTCTACGAGAAGAGTCCCTGGGCGACAATGTCGTCGCGAATTAATCGCAGTCGCTGCGAAATATTCGCGTCGGTTTGGGGCATCCTTAATGTCACGCCTTCTCGGTGCGCAGTAGCTAGCGGCTCAGGTCGCCGGACGAAGCAATAGTGTCTTGTTAGCCTATAGTCAGGAGAAAAATTGTCGGCAGTGAAACAACTTTAATACTTATTATCTGTGAATTGTATGTATTGCTGCGAATTCGTGGGTTGAATACATACAATTTTGCGCTATCAATTGTCGCCATTCATTCCTTGGTGACCTAAGAGACTTACTCGTTTGTAATGGATTTTAAATCCAAATTACAACGTAAAGTTTTATCAGGATAAACTAGAGAGGTTGTAGCAAAATGTTATATTCTTTATGCAACTAGAAGCAGAAGGAAATAAACCTTTAAAGATTTGAACAAAGTTCAGGAGCGAGCAGCCATGGCGACGGAAGTTAGTCTATAGACTATTAAGAGGATTTCTCGCGAAATGAAATCTGTTCAAGAAGGTGCGTCGACATCTTTTTCGATACCAAACAAAAATCGAAGAAGAGCCACTCCGAAATCTGATTTCGACGACTTTGATTTTTTCGCGGATGTACAATTAATTTTTACATAACGGAAAAGAAGGTTCCAACTTTACGGCGCATACACAGAAAAATTTTTCAAGAACACAATTACACTGGATCACATGAAACTTTAAGAAAAGTGATGATAACAATGGGATTTCGTTGGACGAAGGCAATAACTAATAGAAGACATCTTATGGAGAAACTAGAGATACAGTAACTCAGAAAATTTTTTCTGAAAAGGATGAAAGGATGTAGAGAAAAAAATCGTCCTATAATTTATATGGACGAAGCATACATCCATACATCACATACTCATCAAAAGAGTTGGAGCGATAAGACCAATGAGAGCCCGCACGGGCCAGTTTCAAAAAGATAAGATTTATTATTGTGCATGCTGGTAGTGAAAATGGTTTCGTGTAAAATGTTTATCTGAAATTTAAATCCAATAGTAAGTCGGGCGATTATCATAGTGAGATGAACTATAGTAACTATAAAAAATGGCTTCAGAATAAACTGATTCCCAACCTACCACCAAATAGTGTTTTGGTTATAGACAACGCTCCGTACCACAATGTTCAGATAGACAAATGTCCTACAATGTGCTCTAAGAAGGATCATATGGAAGAATGATTCAGACAAAAAACATACATTTTACTGACGACATGTTGAAAATTGATTTGTATAGCCTTATCAAAATGCAAAAGCCGCATATATAAACTATGAAATAGACAGAATAATGACTGAAAAAGGTAATTCTGTTTTGAGATCGCCACTATATCACCCCGACTTGAACCCAATTGAGTTGGTATGGGCATCTTTGAATCAATATGTGGGTGAGAGAAATGTAGATTTTAATCTCAAGACTGTCGGCAAACTTTGCGTCGATTTTTTCTCGTCGTATCCCACCGGAGAATGGAAAAAGCGATGTGAGCATGCCAAACGTTTTGAGACGCAATATCTGGAAATGGAACCAGCACTCTACTTAGTTGTGGATCAAATAATAATAAACCTAGACGAAGATAGCGATAGCGAAACCGAAAATTTAAGCTTAAGTAGTAGCTCAGATTCCGATTCCGAACTTTCAGGATTTGATCTTCTGTGAAACTTCATAGAACTTTAAAATATTGCCAGCTGTATCTACTACGATGTTAGTTTTCTGACCTTACTTTTCATTTGATTGTTTCTTAATTGAAACTATTAACAATTAAAAATAGAATGAGTACCAATCAAATTCAGTATTATAGCTTTGTACATAGCGTGCAATACTTATTTTAAGGAATAAATTGTTTTGGTTCCCTTATTTCTGTGTTTATCTCATAAATCAGATTTTTAACCTTTCTGCGGTAGCGAACAGGTATGGAAACATAAAACTATTTCTGTAAAACGAATGTATTATGCAATTTTGAAAATATTGAAAAAGTCGAATGACACGTATTGAACGTGCAATCTTTTTTGCTCCGATTGCGTCCTCCCTCTCTCGTGTGCGCAATCCCAGCATCTCTTCCTACACTTGACGAGCTGCAGTTTTAGTTGCCTTTGATAATTTATTTCATTAATTTATTTTATTTAGCTCTTAATAAAGTGATCTGAAAATTAAAAAAAGATAGTGGAAATATTTAAACGATAATGAGTTTAACGTTCTCTCTAACGTTCGAGCTGAGCGTCCATTCCACCTGTGTCTGGTAGTCAACCCACCTTCCACATTCGAGTACGGTGATTTGGAGTATCTGGCTCTTCATTGCAATATACGTGGTTCGCGTAATTTCTCTTTCCTACCATCTTCAGGGAACTGTCAAAACAGCCATGTCCTGAGAGGAACTATGCAGTATACGAGCCCCTTCCCTCTTCAGTTGGCCCAACTATAGAAATCTTAGTTTTTTCTTATAAAACACAAATGATAAAAACGTAGCAGGGTGTTATAGGTTTAAAATATTAACAATGAATATTTTGATAATATATAGTAGAAAACACCAACTTTATCATTCCCTAATCAAAGTTGCAGCATAAAAATAACACATGTTGCAGTTACAGCATATCAACCTATTTTCATTTCAATGCAAAATAAGTCTATAACGCAGAGGTGGCTGTGAAAAATAAAAGCCATTACAATTGTTTTTATTAATCACAGCTGTCAGAATACGTTTAAAATAGTTTTGGGTAGTTAAGGTTTTCAAAATGGGTAGAGGAAAGGTTATTAGTGAGAAAATTCGGTTACTGATAATTAAACTTTTAATTCTGGGAAATCAAACTCAGAAATTGCAACTTTGTTAGACTTATCGCGGTACAGTGTGATAAATATTGTTAGAAGATATAACGTAACTGGTTCAGTTAATATTAAGCCACAATATGTGAAAAAAAGTAATATCACAAATGCCGACCGATGAGCATTAAGAAGAATAATAGTGAAAAACAGGCATGCCAATTATTTACAATTAAGTGCTCTGTGGAGTGACGCTGTTGGAAGGAGAATTTCGAGGTCCACAACTCATAGAGAGGCCCACAAACTGGGATTTAGCACTTGCAAGGTGAGGCCCGATTCGAAGTTTGTGTTGGTGACAGTCACAGTAGAGTTATTCACAAAAAAATAAAGCATTCCATGTTGACTTTCTAAAGAGAAAAGTGAAATTTCCAGCATCCATTATGGTCTGGGGCAGTATGTCATCAAAAGGAGTAGGAAACCTTCATTTCATTGATGGAACTGT